CCAGGAACAGTACCTCCTGTGCTGTGACAGTGGCCAGAAGGCTTGAAGTGAGAAAAGACTAATTGATGTTATAATATGCTTTTTATATCTGGGCCTCAGGATTTAAGAGTAAGGATGGCGTCCCTGAGATGGTTAAAGCTTACCTGAACAAGAAGGTGAAGCTGGATGAGTTCATCACTCATAAAATGACTTTGGACCAGGTCAACGATGCCATTGAACTGATGAAGCACGGCAAATGGTACATACTTTCTCAATTATTACTAACTAGATGCAAAAATGAAAAACTAATAGGTGCAAGTCTTCTAATTTGTGCTTTGTATTTGTTTCCCAGCATCCGGACAGTTCTGAGTGTTTCTCCACAGTAAGACCACTTCATTCCTCAGTAATCTGAAGCCATGCTCTACAGTGAACACCATTCAACAGATTATGTGCAGATTGTGTTTGTAAGAATTATCATCAGTGTTCACATGATCAAAATCTGAGGAGTGTTTGTGCAGCAAAATAAATGGTTTTAACAGATGACTGGTTTCCTCACTTCTGATCAGATTTGGTTGTGTTATTTTATAAGTCGGTATAGAGGCTGTAATTCAGTTCACTATTACACTGGTTTTAGTGTGGCACAAGCTTTCTAGTCAGTTTAGATTTACAGACTTGTCTAATCAACTATATGTACTTAGGTTGGCAAACAGTGTTGAAATTACACTACTAGTGATGAGATCATGGATTTATTACCACAGCTATTTCTGCCTATTGCACTACTTTCCTGGTAACGTCAAAAGGGGGCAATATTTCAGTTAAAAGAGTTAAAGCTATTAACTTTCTCCTATAAACCCCTTTAGAAAGCCTTTTATATTTTCTCACTCAGATTCTTGCTTCAAATATTGACAGGGGTTATACACGAATGCACTAAGATGCATTTGTTTGGCTGAATGATGCAGTTTTTCCTTTTATATTGAACTTTTATTTGCAAAAGTACCCATCCAGACAGAATTACTTAGCCTTCTTTTCAGTAACAGTTCCTGGAGTTCTAGAGGAAGCACAAAGAGAACATGTGCAGAAGGGTCTTCCACAGGTTTGAACCCAGGGCCAACTTCTTGTTGGGCGATTGAGGTAATCACTGAGCCACCATGGTACTGTGCATTCAGAAATACTGTCCTGAGTCATTTTTCTGGGGTTGTTGGATGAAAAAACAAAACAAACAAAACTTTCTTTCTTTCTTTCATATTAAATTCATATTATATTTATATATATATATATATATATATAATCTTTCACTGTAGATTCATATTAAATTCATATTATATTTATTTTTTTATATTTTGTACTTGATAGATAGCTTAGCTTAGAATAAACTCCCATCAATTATGATGATGATGATGATTATTATTATTATTATACATTATTTGCAGTCGGACTTTGAGTCATTTTAACGTTCCAGGTCAGCTCATTTAGGCATGCCTCATTAGCCGCTTTCCTTATAAGGAAAATGCAGCTGCAAAGCGAATATTGGCCAGCCCTTAATTGTTTCCCACCTGTTGTAGACCCGCTATTTCCTTCAGGTATGTGCAAGTTGCTTTCTTTGTGATTGTGTTTACGGTCTCGTTCTGCCCTGGAAAAGCAAAAATTAGCTGGCTGAACTCGTTTAACTGATCTCTCCTTCATTGCTGTGTTGTTGTGCATTTCTGAAATGCTGCCAGTAATGTTAGAGGTTTTCTAAGCAGTGGGAACTCAGAATCATTGTTTCAACATGGTAACCCAAGCCAGCTCATGTTTCATTATAAACTAGTAAGATGAGTCGAGTAACTGAAATAAGTGACCTTGTCCTAGAAAGGTTGATCAGAGTGAGTTTCAACACCTGTGTTCCTCCTGAGTTAAGTGAAGCAAATCCATCCTAAGTGAAATGGTATCCTTTTAATGTGCCCTATGTAGCATTTTAACTTAAAGAATTAGAGGGGACAACGGAAAGCTTTTTGGGTTCCTTGTCTTCCCAGTTATAATTTACCCTACTTTAAATTTTATTAACAAATATAAAAGAACCACATGATTGATGATTACATTTGAGTTTAAAGAAATTGAATCAAATTAAATGTAAATCAGCTTTAATGTAACTGGGATTAAAGCCACTGCAGATTGAGTCAAAGCTACAGTGTACTTATGCGTGTGTGGTGTTCAGACCCAGTCAGGCCTCCTTTAACCTCTCAGTGGAAAATCTGAAGCTTTAGACTGATTTGATAACAAATATTGTACCTCTCCAAATCAACCTGTCTGCATCCTGGATTCAAAACATCTTTGAAATCAATTTAAGATTAAGATCAGACAATTCATTTGCAGACTGGCCCTCAAATAGTCGCGTTATCGCAAAAGATGAGTTTAGATTTACCCTTACATTTAAAATTCAACTTTTTGATTTAACACCTATATTTCACATTTAGATGAACTGGTTTGCAAATGTTGCAAACATGGTTTGAAGAGTTTTGTTTTTAAATCCACATTTTAAAGTTTGGAACCAAATTATTGACTTAACCATGGTTTATTTTACAAAATGCATAACATATAGGTTAATTATAAAGCTTGGATGTCATATGTGGGGAACATTTGTATTTGAAGCCACGTCTGTTTAACCTAACTGGTTAATGGTAGTAGTTGGGTAAATGAGTTAAAGTCTAGCTATAAACAAGCCCCACCCCCTCTAGTTTCATTCAAAAGAACACCGTTCACAACATTTGAAAGCATCACAAGCTCTCTGATATGAGAACTCTGCTGGGTTATTGATTGGTTGAATTTTGAACTAACACTGCTAATACAGAGGAAAATTATAAGTTTGTGTCCCCATGAACTGCTGTCACACTACTTGTAACTACTCAAGTCCATCTCTCCACCTTTTTGTTACAGAAATGACCACTGCTGGTAATGTAAGTGTAAAATTTCCTTTCTTTTATTTCCTTCTATAATTTTTCATTTTTCAAAATTAAGGCTGAAAAAGGCTAATGGAGGCTAATTATAGTAATTTAATCATG